TTATATTAATCCTCTTAAAAAGAATGTTTTAAGAATCTACTTTTTCTCTCGCGTTATAAATTGTATTAAAAAACATGATCTTTAATGTGATTTAGATTGTTTCAGCCGATATAAGAATCGGGTCACTCGGTGGTACAGAATAAACACTGCTGGACTGTTTTATTTCTTTTTCATTTAGCAAAAAATCTTTTAATTAAAATATTTATCCTTTGGACTTTGCTTTATGTTTTGTTTATGGTTAAAATGTCTAGAAAATAAAAAGCTGTCTTCAACTGAAACGCAGTTGATGCAAATGATATTTTAAAAAAATTGATAAGAATGTAAAATTTATGAAAGTCCAGCAATTGAAAAATCTTAATTTTCTTGTGTGAGCACTGAAAATAACTGTAGAAGGAAAGAAGAAAATTAGGGAGAAAAGTAAGCAAGAATTTGAAGGGAAATTTGGCTGTCAGACATACCAAGATGTTTAAAAAAGTTGGACGTTTTTTAATATACTTTCAGGATACTTTAAAGAATTTAGGTGTTCAAAGAGAAAACACTTGGACGTGTACACCAGCAAATACCATCAATTAAGCTTGTGCTAACAGAAAAGACACAAACAATATCATTGCAGATTAAAGTGAAAAGCGAATGGTTTTAGACTATATGGTTTGGTTTTAGACTAGTAGTTCGGTCTGAGGTTCGAATCCAGCGAACAAGCTGGCTGCATGAGCGTTTTGGTGGTTTTTCTCATGTGTAACGTGTATACGAAACCAGTTTCCCTTAGAAAGTCCTCCACGAAGGCATCCTTTCCCTTAAGCAGATAGCCCTAATGTGCTTTGCCATAATTAAATAAACCAAAACCTCTTGATGAAACCTGCCTTTCCTTTCATCTCATACCTTCAAAATGCTAACCTTTAAAGATTGATAAAGTCTCTGACTTAAATACTGATGAAATGGATTGAATTGGATTATTAAGTTATGGCAAAGCAGGCCTATCTGCCTAAAAGGAAGGATGCCTTTGTGAAGAACTTTCTAAGGGAAACCAGCTGGCATACATGTTACACATGAGAAAACCCACGAAAACGACCATGCAACCAGCCTGTTTACTGGGATTCAAACTCCAGAGGGAACTACCAGTGTTCAGCAACTTTAACGCTCGCCCGTTTGTGGGCCTTTATGAAATTTATTTAAAATGATTGCCAGAAATACCAAGATGTTTTGAAAAGTTGGATGCTTTTTAATATACTTGCAGAATGCCTGAAGGAAAACTGTTTAAAGCAGTGTATGCAAGTCATCCTAAGTTTAAATGTCGGTTATACATCTCTCTTATTTATATATCTTTTCTGAATGGAACATTGAAAGGCGTGTTAATGGTGCTTTACTGTATTTTCTCTTCTAATATATGCAGTTTTCAAATGCATCGTAGTCTGGGTTACAAAGTATTCTTTTGAAAGAAACCAATCAAATAAATAAAATAAAATTCTGTAAAATTTATATTAATAAATATATTTAAAATGCTCAGTTCGAATGAATAAATAGAATATTTTAAAATAATTATCTGAAGAGACAATGCAACACTAACAATTAAAATAAAAGTCAAAAATTAAAAAAAATTACCTAAATAGTAACTATGACTAAAAATATATATAAAGAAAACTATTTGAAAAAAAAAAAAAAAAAAAATAATAATAAAAAATAAATGGTGCACCTTTGCTTTAAACTATGCAGTTCGAATGAGTAAATAGAAATTTTTAAAACAGTTATTTGAAAGAAACTATGCAACGTAAACAATTAAATGAAATTTGGAAAAGGAAAAAATTTCTTAAAATTAATAATAATTACAATTAAAAATATAATATAAAGAACATTATTTGAAAGAAGGAATGATTCTTTTTTTTCCTCTCACACACTATGGAAAAATGGAAATGAAAATAGGCTGCCACATATTAAGAAGTTCGCCAAGTGAACTAATTTTGGTGCAAACTGAATAAAAAGTGCCAACATAAATTGTTGAATTTCTCTGTAAATTTCACACCAAAGTTTACAAAATTGAATATTTAGGCGTGAGTCGTAGAATCGAAATATGTAAAAAAATTGGTATGTTATTTCAGAAAAAGTCCGATTTTGTGTCAAAATACCTATGTTAGAATAGTGCTATATATAAATCTAATATATATCCTAAGTCGTGCTTTCGAGACATGAAGAACGCAATTTGAATTTCATGAATCGGCCCAGTAGAATGGGAAATATAGAACTGTCCTTTTTTTTTTTTTTTTTTTTTTGTTGAGCAGTGTACCTGTTTAAAAACAGCAAAACGTGTGAAAACTCTCTGCCCAAGGGTAGGAATATCTGCACAAAGAACTTTCAAAGGACAAAGGTCTATATTCATATTATAAACACAGAAAACTACAAAATATCTATGTGACTGGCTCATTTGCTGGTATTTAAATTTGGATCAAACTTTCAAAATTCAATAGTCTTATCCATTTGGTTACTGATAAGCCTCATTTTCAATAGAATATTTAGTTAATCATGACATGTAAGATTAACTAAGAATTTGGAACACTTAAATTCAGAGGTCATACCTGCAGATTTTTCTGCTCGTATTCATGAAAAATATTGTCTACATATATATATTTACACTAACCGAAACTGAAAATGCAATACCAAGAAGAAGTGGCCTGAAAATTAAGCAAACTTTAGGGTAAACGCACATCACTGAGTTATTCAAATGATGTGAAATGTGCAGCTCTCCAGAGCATGTTGAAGAAGATATAAGGGAAGGAACCTGCAGAATGTTCAATTTTCGTGCCGTTATTTCTGCTAAAGAAATCATCAGAGAAAATTTGTTCTTGTCTTAGAGTATGCGTGTAATAGCAGAGAATGTCAGGCTGTCATCAATGGAGGCTGTTCCAGCAGACAGACAATTTTACAAGGGGCATGGTGATCAGACTGAGAAGGGCAGGTTGGTTCATATGGCCAATCTCAGCTGACGCACACCTAGATGCATCTACAGAGCAGCAGCTGTGGCGATGATGGTTGGCATAAGGAAATGTGGCAGTTTGAGTGGTGCCGGTGCAGCCACAGTAACATCAGTTCCCGTGGATAGACGCATGTTCCAGCAAGCAGTGGCGCACCCGCTAGTCACTTCTACCTCCATTCTGCAGCATGTTCAAGACACCCTTTGGTTGTTCTCATATTGACCAGAACTATTTGCCATCAATTTGTGACTAGTAGCCTGCACTTGTGGTGTCCGTTAAGAAGACTGTCAACTGACCCCCATATCATAGATGCCAATGTCTTCAATGAGTCATGTTTCTGTTTCTGCAATGGTAGTTGCCACATACAAGTGTGGAGAGAGGTGCAATCTGGCAGCAATTGTGGAATGCCCCACCATGCGACAACACAGCCTATGGTGTGGGTACAATTACGTTTGATTCCAGTTTGCATTCAGGGCAGTACGATGGCACAACAATACACGGATGAAATGCTACAGCCAATGACACTCCCCATCAGAAAGGGCCCAATGCCCTTTATCATCAGAATAAGCCCAACCACACACTGCTTGCATCAGCCAATGTGCTTTGCAAGGTGGTACAGATGCTTCCCTGGCCACTGTTCTCTCCTGATCTCTCACCAATCAAACACATTTGGGATGTGATTGGTTGCAATTTGCAGACCCTGCCATTGCCATGTTCAGAAGACGGGGAATGGAGAGCCATTCCTCAGGACGCCATCCACAGTCTCACCGAATTTGTATCTAGATGAGTTGCTTTGTGTATTGTCATCCAGCGTGATCCTATAAAACAACATGCCTGTTTGTAATGCAATATATAATGTCCTGAAATATGCTGCCTGTACCCACTACAATAGATAACATCTTGAAATATGCACCTGCACAACTATCTATATCGCAATGTATATCATGTAAATTTAATCCCTTACTTGAGCTAACTAATTTAACGCTGAAAGGTTAGAAGTACGTTGATGCCGCCGCGCCAGTACATTACTTGTAGTGCTCACTGGGTCACAAAAATCACGACTCGAGGAATGATGCCAGAATGTTGTAGTTTTCTAGTTAGTGTGTGGGGCTAATACCTGCTTACTTAGAGTAAATATTAGGTGGCCCCCTCACTTCTTCATAACATAACATAACCTACTGAGCCGATGCTGTTTTCTCTCTGTATTATGCACATCATTTTGAAATAAAGAACACTTATTGTTAGTTGTTGTCTCTCTCTGTTTGCCGAGTTTTATCACTCCTCCTTGGTACTGCATTTTCAGTGTCAGGTAGTCCAGAAAGCATAAAAAATTTTCACATCTTGAATTTTCTTCACTTGTTTAAGTGTGCCTATTTTACACTGACATGACTGCTGTAATTTTTCAGCATAACCATAATGGTTTTAATTTTTATTTTCATCTCTTACTTTTATAATTTAGAAATGCCTCAGAGAAAATGGGATCCAAACAATTAAAACTTAGGTGAAAATTAGAAAATACTATTCATATGGCAAAATTGATTTTAATCTCTCCTGGAATTTTTCTGCACTAGTCAAATAATTATGGGGAAAAAAAAAAAAAAAAAAAAAAGAGTTAAAAAAATTTGACATTAGAAAATTTTTATGAGATAATTTAACCCATAACAAAGATGATCAGCACCATGTATAAAACAAAATAATGCATATATTGTCTTTTCTCCCTTGTATATATTATAGAATTATTCTCCTACCTATACAATGCGAGCAGATAATGGGAAAATGAGTAAATAGTCTTCATGAAAAGATGAAATTTTAGATCTAATTACTACAAAAATTCAAGTATCTTTCAAGATGGCTAATGATTTTAAGGTACTTTCAAGAAGCTATAAATTCACAGAATTTTACCAGTATTGGCAAAGTTTTTTAAAAAACATATAGATCACAATGCTCTGAAAGAAAATCTCTGAAATGACCTTTCTTAAACTATAATCACAATCATAATATTTTGTATTTGAATTAAAAAAAAAATGATATATTTACCTTACTTATAGCTGTAGGTGATAATCGGGCAGTAACAAATGACATGTCAAAATATCGACTCAGAGTTTTCTGCAAAGGAAAGAAAACACGAAATTGATAAAAACAATCAAGGTGTACATACACCTCTATTCAAAACATTCACAGAAAAATCATGCTATGCACATGAAACATGAAATATTAAATGTAGCTGCTAAAGTATGATAGCATACTTTACGAAAAAAATTTATTAAAAGGTATAATCCTGAACAGCTTATTTTGTGTTGCAGTGTAAAATGAATTAAAGCATCTTTGAATCATTCAGTGCAATATCACATTTTAAACCTTTGTACAAAATGCAGTTCTTTGATCAGAAACAGATCTCTTTTATGCTACAACTACTTTATTTTAGACATTTCTTCTCTCTCCTTACCTAACAGTTCTCCTTTAATACATATTAAGGTCATACAGAAATGAATGACACAAATGCTGCCACAGAGCAGAATACAATTTATTAACAAAAAACTGGGAGCACATTGGTTATGAATAATCCCCACCCATGTCAATACACTTCTGCCATCTGGTGGGAGGTCCCGAAGGGCTTTGGTAATATGGCTTTAGTCTGTGGGGGTGTTGGCGCACCACCTATGGACAACTGCATGCAATTCGGCAACATGTTGGCCCCTGACTGCGTTCTTCATCTTGTCAAGCAAGACCTAGCCCGAAATCTTGATTCGAGGTCCGAGGTCCACCCACTTTGCATACACATTTGTCATCTCCAAATCACCATGCACAATCACCTGCAATGTTCTTTGCACAAGCCCTGTCTCTTCCTGCATCTTGTTGAAAGTTATGGGCTTGTTTGCCATGAACAAATCGGCATGGCTGCCACATTTGCTGCTGTATGCAATGTTGCTGGTTGTCCCGTGCTGACACCTTTGGATGCAGTCTCCACTCTACTGCTGAACTTGGCCAACCAGTGGGCTACGGTATGCCTTGAGGGTGCTTTGTTTCTGCACACCGAAACGATGTGACAATGGATCTTATTACCCTGTATCCCTTCCTTCCATAGGAACCAAGCTGTCCAATGCTGACTGTGATAGTCACCTTCCATCATTGCTGTCCACGCTGTCGAAAGAGACGGGTGCTGACTTATACTGCTTGTTTGCATCTTGTTGAATGTTATGGCCAACTATGCATTCTGATTCAACTTGCAGTCAGAGCCAACTATGCATTCTGAGTAACTCATGCCCCCTTGTGTCTATTTCACTTGTTTTTCCTGTCGCTGCTATGAGAGCTATTGTGTCAATCATTTCTTTACAATCCAAGTAGTTGTATGGGATAAATTCCCATTATCCAAAACAAAGTGATGGTCTGTCTGTGATAAGTAACAAGATATTGTGAGAATACTTCGAAGAAGGGCAGAAGCAAGTGTATGTGTTCCAATGGATACTGCTTTCAAGATGACTAGGTAATAATTTTTTAACATTACGAACAGAATTTCCCTAAGCACTTGTTTATAAACTTTTGCCACATAGGGAGCATATCAATTGCTATTAGAACTGAATATAGAATGCCATACAATACAAAAACTTTACAGAAAGAAATATACACTTTATTCCAATTTATACAAATTTCATTTGCAACAACCAATATCTACTGTAACAGATTCAAAAGTTGAAAAATGAAAATCAAAAATGATTTAGCCTGCAATACCAAATTTTTAAAATAAATTATTCTTAGAACGAAAACTAATGTTCTATTTGGAGTAAATTGATAACCATGTGCATTGATAATAAAAAATTGAGAATGGGACAAAAAAAATTCCCTTTAGAAAATTCCAGCAAAGTCTGCATTAATAAATTTTTTATCAGAGAGGTGTAATTCACAAAGAAATTTTGACCTAAAAATCAATTCAGTATCATATTCAACACAGAAGCTAGGAATCTGATGTCTAAAAGAATTCATTATACAGTGCACTCTCAATTAACAAGAAGTGAATTAAACAGACCTTGTCTAAAAAATAAAAGAGATAAATTTCTGTATTGCAGGAGAATGGAAAAATTACTACCACAACTCATAAGAATAAAACAAAATTTGTATGAGAAAATGCAAAAAGGAAAAGAAAACACATAAGATATCAGCAATAATATGAAATGATATCAGAGCACTTATAAATTGCTGCTATCCAATGCATTATGTAATTTAATTGTACATAATCTGGAATATATAATAAATAAAGTTGTTACGTAGCCTAATAAATATTTTTAAATAATGTAATAAAACCAACTAGATAAATCTAAAAAATAAGATGTAGAGCTATTGATCTTCTGCCTCCCATTGAGAATAATACAAACAATTCCCCCCCCTGTTTTGAATGCTGATTTAATATATTTAACCAAATGGTCTTACTCTCAAAATGAAATTGCTTAAAAAACATTTTCTGGTAATAATAATATACATTAATTTCTGGTAACAATAAATGCATCTTGTTATTTTATAACTACTGTAAGATTAACAGTGTATGTTATCTTGTGGCATCCTGGTACAGTTAATCAAGAGTCTATTGTGTTTCTCTAATAAATGCTCAATTAGACTGAATTTATATACGATTTCCACTGAATTTATATACGATACAGTTCTCATCAAGCTTCTGTTAAAAACAAAAAATAATTTATTAGTTATTCCTCTCCAAACTACATTTGGCAACCAGCTAGTATTCAGTTCACTGAAGAGAAATTTGACTGAATATATAATATAAATAAGGATATAATTTTGACAGCATTTTTAAAAATCTAGAGAAACATTAAAAAAATTATTATAGCAATTAGATTGAAGGAAAAAGCATTCAGAAATTATAATGACTATAATAAAATATTTGCAGTGTTACAAGAAATTTATGCATTTAAACAGAAATAAAAATTTTCAAAAAATTAAAAAATGGATATTGGTTTTTTTAGAAATTCAGTCTTTAAACATTGCAATATGCACTGTGTAGAATTTTGTGTCTACTAACCTGTTATCTTATTATTTTTACCACCTACCAACCTATATATATAGGTAAGGGAGGAAATGTTCTCTATCCAAAAATTCAACGTATTCTCAATAAATAAGCATGAATTTGGATCCCCACAATATATTTTTGTTATTTTTACAATGATATCTCTATGCGAGTAATGATTTTTTTCATCAAGATGACTTATGTGAAGTATTCTTATATGAACTATTATAACTTATATAATATATGAAACTTATATGAAGTATTCTTATATGAAGCTTTTTAAATTTTTTTACATCCATATGAAGAGGTAATTAGGTTTTGGGTATAACTGGATAACCAGAAGTGACACTTCACATGAAGCCTATAGGAATTTAATAGGAATTTGTATTTTTAATAGAAATTTGTATTTTAATATAATTTTTCATTAAAATACAATTCAATCAATTTTAATATTTGAGACTTTTATTTCAATGAGAACAGCATATTGGATCTGGGTTAAAATTGATAAACCAGAAGCAATTTTACTTCAAGAGCTGAACACACTTTCATTAAAAAAATATACTGCGAGACAATCCAAAACAACTCAAATTTAGTATTTAAAATAGGTATGTGATTGAAAACAACATATGAGTTTCATAAGCATTAAATGTATTCTTGGGATAATGCTGAATACACCGAGAATAAGTACATTACGAAAATAAGCTTTCATTATGAAGTAATTAAATTTACTAGCCTCAATCCTCAACTTTGTGTTTATTTTTGTGTCAAATCACTTTTCATATAAGATATGAGCACATAGTTATCAATGTCCATTCTATGGGCTAATAGAATAATAAATAATGAGTATTGTATAATGTTTATACACGAATTAGATTTTATTTATAAACTATTAACCAGAAGTAATATTTTACTTAAAGCATGTTGCTATTCCAGTTTTATGTCTTAATATGGAACTGGCAGGAGATCATGTGCTGGCCACATCAGAATTTTTTGTCTTTAATATCACTTTCATCAGCTCCCACCTGGATGCAAATTAATTAATATATAAGAGCAAAGTTTTTGAGCCTAAGAGAGAGCTTTGGGCAATGACCACTGATTGTCTTGATATTAACCCTGCTTCTGAATTTATTTACTTAAATCAGCTTTAGCCTTTGCTAGCCACAAGAGCCTGGGACCGTTCTGTTAATACACATATTGTGTAAAGCATTAAGCTAAAAACTAATAGAAAAGTTTATTTTAAACTTTCTTCTGTGTTTATTGTTACTTCAAAGGAAAATTAAGTTGGTGTGATAAGTTGTCTGACTGTCTTGACAAAGCCAGAATTTAGATTTAAGATAATCAGTACAACTATATAGGCCGAATAATATGTGCTAATTTATAACCAAATGATAAGTATTCAATTAACAAATGCTGCTGCAGTTTATTCCGGAAGACTTTTATATTTATGAAAAAAATTCATGAAATATATATTTATGCTCACGGAAAATTTACAGGAATTGATGAAAATTATTAGAATACTTTTCTACTGAAAAAATTAAAATGGCAAATGTTTATGATAATCTGTACAGGAGAAACTGGGTTTAATTAAATGCAAGCTAAATTTGTTGCTATCACACCTGTTGGTACTCGGACACACAGCATCTGGAACAACACTATGAAAACAATTATAGCTAGAAAAAAGCACCAAGGATTTTAAGCAACTAATTAGTGACAGCATGACTTTATTCAGCTCCATTCCAATTTAAATTGAGAATACCCTAGTAGATTGAATTCAAAAGTCTCAACACCTCTTCTTCTACAAACAAACTCTCAAATACACTTTCAGCTGTTTTAGTTGAAAGTTTTTAAGGGATCCTCATGCAGCAAGACACTATACATTAATAAATACTTGTTTGGGATTCAAACCCCAGCTTAATCACATTGGAACCAATTTCACCAAACACAGCAGACAAGATAGATTTAATATCACTTCAAAGGACTTGCTATTTAACAAAATCTTATTTCAATATCTTAATCTTTTATAATAAACATAGCGAAATTTCTGCTTTTAAAATAAGAAAAGACAAAATCTATTGATAAGGTTCTTAGGGGGGGGGGAGAAAAAAAAAACTTCATTAATTTTATTAGCTTATTAATACAGGTTTACCTAGAAAATATTCTTCGCAAGATATTAAAAAAATATCATAAGAAAATATTATAGTATGTTATGAGCAGCTGAATGTTTCATACAAGAAAAACATCAGAGAGAAAACAAGTTTTTCAAGGTAATTTATTTTCATGTGCCCTCCTAGGTACTTAAATATAACTATATGTAAATATAATATTCAAAACTAACTATTAATCAAAGACCTTTTTAAACTCAGACAGATAATAATTTTTTTTTTTCTAGTTTCTTTTAACTCTCTCAGTGTTATGGATGGAAAATTCCATATAGAACAGCGGCTTTCGTATCTATGACACATGAAAATTTCTGCCAGCTTTAAATGTGCTCGATTTCAGATTGGATGTATATTGAAAGAAAAGGAATCAAGGTAGAAAGTGAGAATCATTTTTTAATTATAATCAAGAAAGTACCACTTGTTCATGACATTTTGAAGAACTTTGAAACTTCAGGGCTAAATCCGTAACGTTCGGAGGGTTGATATAAAAATAAATAATTTAGAATAATTTCTGAGAAATGCAAGTAATGACATATTTCCAAATAACAGGAAATCAACATCACAACTCCTATTCTAATAATGCAGTTTGAAGAATACATAATTTTTCAACATGATACTGATATTATAATTTTTTACAGCCTATTGTCTATGATCAAACTATACATCTTCACCAACATTTGGATAAAAATGACTTTCAGTACTCACAGGAGGTGGTAAGGACACATAGCGTATATAAAAGCCAGCACCCATCAGGCAGGCATCCCTTAATATAATTAAAGAGGTCAGTGGAACTAGAAGAAAATTAGAACATTTAGTAAAAAGGTATAACTGATGTTTTTTATTCTAACATATATTATTACATTTTTATTTTAACATATGGTAATTTATTTATAGCTTTATTTATATTTTGCTTTAGCCGTTATATAGCTAAAACAAAATCAAGCTTTTTTCAAAAAGCTTAAAATTTATATTTATTTCAGTATACACATATTGCTCCACCAGTGGCTGAGTGGTTAAGACCACTTAATATTGGGAGCTCAATCCTGGCAAACAGCTGAGCTGCATGGTTTGTTCTCATAGTTCTCTCTATCTGTAGCATGGATATGAGCCTGTTTCCATGAAAACATCCTCCCCCAAAACATCTACCTCATTAGGCAGATAGCCCTCGTGAGCTCTCTCACATTCATTTACCCTAATCTATGCACACACTAAAAAAGAATGTAAATGAAAGATTTACAACCTTAAACTAAAAGTCAGTTTTATATCTCCACAGATTTTTTCCTACATTAAAATTTACATAACAAAAAATCTTGTAGTTTGAAAAGATGGAATAAATTCCAAACAATTTTAACATAAACATACAATAATCAACTTAAAATTAAGTTACTCTTTAGTAAATGATTGTCTTATTATACTCCCTATTAAAAATTTTTGATTTTGCAGCAATTGTAAATGTATACTAAGACAAACTTTTCATTTTAATAATATCACAAAGTTTACATTATTTTTTTACAAATATATCATGTGCTCTTTCCAATACTTTCAGAATTATATACAGTTAATAACATATCACAGGTTACAAAGAAAAAAAAAATATTTTAGAAGCTTTACTGTTGAAGTCATCATTAATAAAATGGCAGAATTCACAAGGAAATGTGGGGATTAAGAACACTGCTTAAAAAACACTTTTTCCTCTATTAATGAAATGTATTTAAGTAAAATTACACACGTTTCAAGGTAATTAAACAATTGAAAAATCCAAATTATCACAATCTTGAATTCCATGAAATAGATAATGTTACATTTATTTTAATATTTAATCACTTATTTTATTCCTTCTTTAAAAAACAAATTTGTAAAGACTAGAAGGAGAGAGGAAGAACAAAAAAATTTGGTACCGTTTCATTCTAAATTTACATAATTTTAGACCAACATGTGGAAATGTTTTAAATGTTAATTCAGGACAGAGAAATTGATCAATAACAGAAACATATTATTAAATAACATTTAGCAGTTATAACTGAATAATAATAATAATTTCATTTAATAAGAATCAATAATAATTTAAGTTAAAAAAATAAGAATAAAACAACACACTATATAATAATAACAATAATACATAGATGCTGTTTGCTAAGAAAATTTTAAATAATCATTTAAATGGTTGTAACCAGCTTCTTCAAGATGCTCCATTTTATATCCTTTCCAGCAATATAAATAGATCTTGATCCATATTGTACATGTTGAATAATTTTCTCCATTTTAGTGTACTAGCATCTATATTTTAGATTTAAATAACAAAGCACTTCCATCTTTCACACATATTCCTCTACAAATTCTCTGTTGTAAGAGTATTCTGCCACTGATATTCTTACATCAGATGAAAAAACTGTCATGGATTTCAACTATTTTCTTGGGATTGCCTACTTGATCATTGAATAATTGCATCAGATGTAGGGAACATTTCTAACATGTAATTGTTCCGATTAACTGCAGAATTTTTGCATATATTAAGCTGTTTGTCACACCATTTGTTAGATGTCAGCTCCTCTGCCCGGGAATACATAAATCTAATAGAAAAGACCAATGAAAATATGAAACCAATAAACTAATTTAGATAAGAAGGCCCTCTTTCTTTTCAAAATTTTTATCATCGCACCTCCAAATGGTTTCATCATTAACACATAGTTTCCTCTTGAGGATATTTTCACATACTTATTTTTCAGGTAAGAGACCTCTTCTTTGAAAAAATTATATGCCATCCACCTACTTTTGTTGTAAAATTATATTTATCTACTGTAAAATTATACATTATTTTTTAAACTAAAAACCATTAACCACATACTCACAAAAAAACAAGGAATATTTTGAAAAAACCAATGCAGATTAAAAAAGCTCAGCAAAAATGAAATATGATGCTAATATAAGAATATGTGAAAATGTTAAGAACAGAGTCGTAGCTAGTGTTTTCAGCGCCCAGGGACAACTGAAGATTTCGCGCCTCCTACTGCTTGCCAAAGATGGAAAACATTTAATTCTAAAATGTCGTAACATCATTTTGGCGCTCCTTGGATTCTGCGCCCTAGGACAGATGCCCCCTTCCCCCCCTCCAACTACGCCGCTGGTTAAGAATCAGCATAAATTTCATAAATTTTCAGTAACATTAAAACTATTAAACACTTTTGAACTGTACAATCAGAGATAACTTAAACTTCAGTTCACTGAATAATTAAACCAAGTAAGCTTAAGCTGAATTTCAATAAAAAATTCAATATAAAACAAAATTATTCAACTAGCAAATTAAATCAATTAACCACGACACAATATCATGCACAGTAGTTTTCAAAACACCTTGTAAAAGTATACATTAATGTACAATGATTTTTACATTTATACTATAAAAATGTACAATGTATTTACAGACCTGGAATAAGACCATTTGCAGTTAGGGTAACGAACAAAGTAGCAATCAAGAGCTTATCAGCAGCAGGATCTAAAAAACTTCCAATCATGGTTTGCTGATTTGGAAAATTACGTGCTATGTATCCATCAATCTACAAAATAAATTTTTTTTCAACAAAACTTTAAAAATAATTGGCTGGAATTCAGTATGCAATATATATGTTACATGGAAATCTTATAGTAAACTTATGTTAAAAAAGGCTAAACTTAACAACAAAAAGTATAATGTAACTAAAAGATGATATGGATCTTCTGAGGATGTGATTACGTAGCAACAGCGATTCCCAATTCGTAGCCCTTTCCAGGGGCTCCTTTGCTGCTCCAGGAATATTAAAAGAAACTGAATGAAAGAAAAAAATCAGAAACCTCCTCCAAAAAACGGAATTTAGAAATTATTTTTGAATGCATAAATTCACCAAGTTGGATTTTGTATCTTCTCTAGCAGACAATGCTTGGCCATTTCTTGGAACCACAGACTGGAGTAGATTCTAGCTCATTCTCAATCTTTCAAGAATTCCTAGAACCCACTCGAAGCTTTTTAAAGCAACACTTTATAAATACAGATGCTTAGCTGATTTGGAGTTACTTCATAATGAATCTTCATAGTGATAATGTGATAGCTCTTCCAACTGACTTGCTCGACAAGATTTTGTGTGTTTTATTTCTTCGCAAGATTTAGTTATGTAGCTAATCAATAAATGTAAATAGCTCTAATCAATAAGTGAAATAATAAACTGTACAAAATCATTTTCTCTTAAAAGCAGACTCTATACAGGAGCGTGTGAAGAATATGGAAAGTAACCATGAGTTAAAGTACAGTTGTTGTCTGTAGGAAAAATGTTAGCATATTTGATGAAACTGCTATGCACAGGTAACCATAATGTTGTACTCATGATGGTTTAAAATAATAAAGACTGGGAGTGTGAAATAGTATATTAATTGAAATTTTTAGCAGAACGACCAGAACTTGTCATTGTTAGGGAAAAGTTCATACCACAGTTTCAAGTTTTAAATTCCAATTTGTCTTCTTTTAAGGATAAACTTAGATATTGATAGGAGTGCATGGAAAAGATAATCTACAGAATCCTTTCTGGAAGGAAGTAAAATTTAAATTCAAAGGGGGGGGGAAGAGAAAAGAAAATCTGAAAGGAAAGATTTTAAATTGCGTCCAAAGGGGTGTTTTTTTAACATTTTGTGTGTTACCTTTATTTATTAAAATATCACATTCTTTGCCCTTAAACCATAAAATTCAGTTCAACATCAACATTGCAAAATTGTTTTAAAATGAGCATTAAGTTTTACAAAATAGGAAATCGATAATAAAATAAATTCCGAATTTCAAATTTGGTCTTCCACATGCCCATATTTGCAGTAGGATTACATCATCCGAAATTCGATGGCTCTATGTACTGTTGTTTTATCACAATGTGAGAAATATACATACATTTATGCAGATTTTCCATAATATAATGCAGGATTCTAACATTTGGTGGCAACAGTTTGAAAAGTGAAACAGACATTTATAGTGAACCAACGCAAAATTGCAAAATGAAAACAATAGTCCTTCAGGGACAAAGCCCCTTTGGACTAATAAAATAAAGAAAATGCTCAAGCGTATCTTTGAACTTTGAAAAAATCAATTAAACTTTATTTTCCAATATCTCAAGAGAAGATGCTTGAATGATTTGAATGGATACTGAATATGTTCAGTATGAGAAAAACTATACCCAGCTAAACTCAATGGAGTATGAGATCCTCCCAAATTAGACATCTCACAGAGACTAACTAAAAATTTAAACTAAAGCCCAACAGAGCTTAGGTTGCATACAAGATGAATTCAAAATCTTGTCTGACAAAGCAAAATCAGAGCTGCTGTCTTTTTCAAATGCACATTCTTGTAACACAATTCTTTGCCTATACATGTATCAAAACAATACACAGAACCATGACATTCATCTGCAACTATGAAAAGTTATTGTAACAACCTTAATGATGCTCTCAGCAATAATGTAAAATATCTATTGCAACACAAATTAGTTTGGTTTACTGAACTTTAGAAGAGCCTTTATGTATTTAACTTACGACAATATCACCTTGTTGAATATACTGAGATATTATGATAAATTTTAAACATTAAAAATAATTTCATGGACATGGCACAACTGTTTAGATATCTCCTTACTTTACATTTCTTAACTATGTATAACTTTTTAAAGTTCTTTTGTATTAAATTCACCCCATTGGTGAACATAGCGACATCTTAGCTTCCGTTGGAAAATGTGAAGTGATTGTCTTTAGAACAACATTAAACATATCATTTGCACTGTGTCTTTTCACTATGCAGGATTCTAGATGATGGCAAGCTGTTCCATGGTGCTTTTTATTTCACCATTAAGCAATTCCCTATATGAGTTCTATATTTTGTGTGTGTGTGCTAGTTTTTGGATCAATGAAAATACATTTGTGATTTACTTTACAATGGATATACCCAGATTGTTCAAGTTCTTCTCTTTTATACACCTTCCACCAATTGGAAAAAATGGCCATTCCCATTTTAATGTTCTTTTTAATTTCATTTATTTGTGTAGTGGCATTATAATTAGGGTCAACCACAAGAACTGTTTCACTGGTTTTGCGACAAATGCCCCTATAAATCCATTTGGAAGGCAACATTCTTCAAGCATTATTTTTGCATCACCATGAATATGCTTTCATCTATCTCCACAGTGCATCCGCCACTGCCAATTTTCTTTTTTTCTGCTGCCACCATTTCAAGAACACAAATATCCAAGAGATAACTGTTCCAATCCACAACCGTTTTGTCAACCATTCCTAGTTGCTTTGCTTTTTGCAGAACTTGACCAATGTTAATTATTTACATCGGTCATATATCACATATGACCGATGTAAATAATTAACATCGGTCAAGTTTGTTTTGTGATGTGTTTTCGTGATCGTTTTGTTAGCCATTCTTAGTTGCTTTGCTTTTTGCAGAACTTGACCGATGTTAATTCTTTACATCGGTCATCAGTAATATATAAAATGTAAAGGTGTTATGAATATCATTCGACTTCCTTCAAACCAGTTTCCTACACATATTCCAATACATTTTTGGCATGAACAGATGTTACACTTCTAGAAAATGCAATCTTCATTGATGTAGCGAAGTGCAAAAGCTCACGTTCTCGATTTCCTAGTAGTATGCCATAATTCTAGAAACAGTGAACTGCCTCCATTTTATTTTCAAGAAAGGTCCAGAGATCCTTATAAATCAAAAGGTAGATACAAATTTTCTTTGACATAAATTCTAAATGAATACATAACTATCTAATAAACAACTATCTAATTGAACCACGTGCAAACACGGATATGTTCAGAATAGCACAAGTTGCCATAAACATTGAAATATTTGGCAATTAATCATTGGGGTGCAGTTAACACTGAAGAACCCTTTTTCCTACCCCCAGTATATTATTCTTAAAGATCATTAACTTGTAAGACACAAAAGAGGTTTGGCTAAAGATGATGATTTTAACCCTTTCAGGACGGGCGTCCCATATACGCATTCTCTAAGAACGTCTCTTACAGCCGAGCGTCCCATCCATGCATCACTGGAGATTGCATTCAGAGGACAGGTGATGCGTATACACATTTTAAGGTGGAACGATTTTCTGAAGGCCACTAGATGGCATCCTATGTCCATTACTTTTGAAATGAACTCAGTTTTAGGTTCCTGACCTTGAGTTTGATATATTCTGCTTGACTTTGCTATTTTACTCATCAGCTGTTGCGAGGGTGGGAGGAGGGAAAGCGTAAACAGAGGTGGGCTCTTTAAATCGCTGTGTGCTAATGAAAACATTCTCGTGTCTGATTTATATCCAATTCTTTTTTTTATTCTATTTTTTTCCTCTACTATGTATGGTCTTTTAGGGTTACTGTGCAGAGTTCTTTTACATTTTGCATTGCCTTCAGATATATTTCCGTTTCTTCTCTTTTTATTTAGGAAAGCCTCACCTCCAATCCATTATGGCGGGAAGGCCCTATTTATCAGAGGAAGAATACCCTCACATGGTTAGTGAACCATTTACTAACGCAAATGAGAATAACGATTCATTTTCTAAAGAGTTAAAAAGTGATACCTTTTCTAAGAGTTAGAAAGTGATACTTCTCTGTGCTTCGAGATTTACCACATTCGTCTTCATTTTAAATATTGTTACTTCTTGCAGTAAATAGTCTTTATTGTGCTGTTTTATTAATTTTAAACTTTATTGATGGATTTCATCAATTAAAACTTTGGAATAATTTGAATAGCGCTTCCAAAAATTATTTTACAAGATAAGCAATTTTTAAGTACATTTTTCATGTAAAATAAAGAAAACAACGTTATTAAGTGTTAATTTTAACATATATAAGAGCTCAAGTAATAATCTAAAATGATACCAAAAATTACGATGCTAGAAGCGAAACTTTCTTTCTGATTTTTTTTATAAAATTAGGCTTAGCGATGCAAAATCTCCGTCCTGTACAGTGACTGCCTTCAATTTCCTTACGTCCCGCACGAGCGTCTTAAACAAAGGTGCGCTGTCGCGAAAAGGTAAAAAAGGGCCAAAATGTTTGGGATCTATTGCTGAGAGTATGAATAAATAATGATTATGTACAAAATCATTATTTATTCATACTCTCAGAAATACTAATAATTTTCAGAGATTATGAGAAATGGTTGCCTAAGCATAGTTAAAAAATTCATGGAAAACATAATAACTTGAGTTATATTTTTTTACTCACAGAAACAAATATACCATATTTGCCAGTGTATAAGATGCAACCTTTTTTTATACACATTTTTGAAGGATAAAACTTTATTACTGATCATTATAATGCATTTACAGTATTCTAAATATAAAGTAATACAAATACATAATACTTTCAGCAAATGCCCAGTCTATGAGTTGCTTTTTTTAGATCCTCTTCCTGATTTCACCAAGTTCTTATTTTCTCAGTTTGAATGTGGCCCGAAATGCCTGTTTGCAGCCTTGTTTTCATGCTCTTTAGCATACATAATGACACATACCTTTTATGCTATGTTATAGCAATGCAGGTGTTGTTTTTGAGCCATAACTTGCCAAAAAATTTAAGAAAACTGAACAGTGGAAATTTTACACTCTTAAAAGTCGTTCACAAACATTGGAAAGAACTCAGCTGTGATAACTGATGGTAGCACATGCACATTCACTGAACTCTATGTAAATGTAATATTCCCACACTTTACAAGGAAATAAGAAAAAAAAATTGTATAACTCTGAATACAGGAAATTTCCAGAAATGAATGTAACCAAAAACGTAGTACGTATAAGATGCACCCCATTTTTCAGACCTATTTTCAAAGAAAAAAGTGCATCTTATATGCCAGCAAATATGGTATTTAAAAACTTTCATATGGCTATCTTGAACTGCCATATTTGGTCTGCGAGCGGTAAAGTTGCTGAACACTAGTACAGTCAAAAGTCTTTAATCCGGACTCGTCGGGACTTCGGCGATTCCGGATTATAGATCATCAGTTTAAATCTGGTAAGATGGCATGCAGAAATTATAAAATTAAAAATATGAAACCGTAATTTATGAAATAAAGAGCAATTACGATCTAAAGAGTATCAAAATTTACACACACACACACACACACACACACACACACAAAAAAAAAAAAAAAAAAAAAAAAAAAAAAAAAAGCTTAATATTTCTTTGTTTACTTTAATAAACATTTCTTTCAACATGTGCATGCATAAAGCATACATTACGTGTAGTCGAAATTAGAAAATTGCAACCAGAAAACTATTTGATGTGTACTCATGATATTTATAATGATGAGGAATTTGATTTAAATCATATCAAAGACAAAATACATTGAGATGAAATACTACATTTAGAAAGGAATTATAAGCTGAATAAAATAAAAACATCTGCCTGAAGATAAGGGTAGTGCTGACAGATCAACTTCCAGTTAATTGCGCGCCGCGACATTCCCCCCCCCCACCACACACGCAGAGCAGCGTGAAATTGAGAAATTGATAAACAGATTTCGGAATGGTTAGAGAAACAAAGCATATGCCTTTATTCATTTTTTGCAGCAATTCCACTTTTTGCTTGATGGACATCGAAACATACCTTCGCTTTATAGATCCTTTGACAGCTCTAGCATCAGAAATTCTATTTGACATTTAATCAAAAGTTCAAGCTTACTTTTATAAAATTGCTCTGACAGTCTGCAAAAAATAATAAGCCGGATCCAATTCGAAGATTAAGGGACAACGCAATCTGCAACATTAACTGAAATAGATAATTTTAGCTTAACTTATACCGTCCGTTATACATTAAATGCGCATGCAAAAACGTATTATGTGCATGCACACACGCATATGGTGCATGAGTAAAAGTATTACACGCATGCGTAAATGCCTATGCGCGTGCGTGAACGCGTTGACGCATGCGCAGAAAGTTTGTAGGTTTGAGGTCCGGATTAACGATTTTTGACTGTAGTTCTAACCTGAGTTCAATTCCAGGCAAATGCTTTATTTTAACTCATCTATATTCACACAAGCTTCAGCAAAATATGGCTGTGGCATGATTAATTTTGTTCTAACATACTGCCAAGTGCTTAGAATCGATAATGGCCAAGCAGTAAAATCGCTGAAGCTCCAACATAGGTTCCATTCCAGGCAAATGTAGATCCATATAAATCAAACTTTAACAATAACAACTTGACTTCCTTCAAACCAGTTTCCTACACATATTCCAATACATTTTTGGCATGAACAGATGTTACACTTCTAGAGAGTGCAATCTTCATCGATGTAGCGAAGTGCAAAAGGCTGTATGGGTGTTTTCATGGTCTTGCCCTTGTGTAATATGTATGCAAGACAGTTTGCCTTAGAAAAGTCCTTCATAAAGGCATCCTTCTCTTTAGGCAGATAGCCCTTGTATGCTTTACCATAATTAAACCAAACCAAATCAAGCTGGCATATTTAAATTTCGACAGAAGAATTTTTCCTAACATTTATTTACCTTACTTTAAAAGGAATATGTGTATTTATATATTATCCTGCCAACTGTGAAACTATTGCCAAGTAGCATAATTTAGACACCAATTATTATGCATAAACATGAAATCATAACGCATTCACAAAATCTGCACTATGGAGTCCTGACTGTTTCTCAGTTAGCTACCTTTGTTTTTATGAAAAAGGTGTGGTGTATTTAATTATGGCAAAGCGGACTAGGGCTATCTGCCTAAGGGGAGGGATGCCTTCGTGGAGGACTTTCTAAGGGAAACTGGCTCGTATACATGTTACACATGGGGAAAACCATGAAAACACCTATGCAGCCAGCCTGTTCGCGGGATTCGAACCTCGGACCGAACTACCAGTGTTCAGCGACTTTACCGCTCGACCGCTGGTGGGCCCCTTTTATGAAAAAGGATATAAATGAAATGTTATTGCAGTCTCCCCCATTTGGAATAAAAATGGCTTTGAGGTCTGCAGAATCACATTTGTGAATAATAAGTGAATAAATCAGACAGTTCAACATAATGAATGCAATAATGTGATAATATTAAAAAAGAAAAAATTATCAGTTATTAATTTACAATATAATATTAAAAAGGAAAATCATAAAATTAAAAACAGATATATTTCATGGAAATTTAAGCACATTTCAAAAATATTGTATAAATTTATTAAACAAGCAACAAAGTTTTTCCAAAGTTATGGTCATTATAATAATAAAATCCTTTAAGCTCTTTTAATTCATTCAACTGGGCCAACTTGCATTATACAAATCAAAATTTTTCTGCTCGCCTTCAACTTTAGTTTTACATACAAGTATTAATTGAATATGTTTACTAGATAGCTTCACACATATTTTCTCCAGCCAAATAAAGCTGCATATACACACATTCACTTTACCCCACTATCATCTATGCATGTTTTCATTCACATTTGTAGATGATCTTATTTAGATATGTTCACACCAGTATACTTTTATTCATTCAATACATTGCATATGTATATGACATAATACTTTGGTCTGATATTGTATATTACTCACAACATTACATTTTATTACTCTATCACACAGAGCGACATGACACAGTCATGACTGATTTAACTCAGATAATGAATGTTTATAACATCATAATGAATATTTGGAAATTGATCTTATTTATGAGGATGAAAGCAATGATTGACTATCATGTTTAGAGGCAACAAAAGTTTTTTTTTTTTTTTTTTTTTTTTTTTTTGATTTAGAACATAAAAATGACAACTTAATTTTTTAATTCTTGCAATCAAAGTTAGAATTTTAATGAATTTTAATATTCAAGCAAGAAGAATAATTAAAATTCAAAATAAATATTAATAAAACTCAACTTACTAAATCTGTAAATCCTGCAAAAATAAAAAGACCAAGAGAAGCAGTATAGAATTCGAGCAGAACAAGGTAACCTAGTACAGGAGTAGAAATGATCCTAAGTGCACACAATGCATTGGGGACTGTAAGAACATTTTCTTTCTACAAAAAAGATAAAGATTAATCTTGTAGGCATAAAGCAAAAATAAATAGTTTACAGTGGTTTTATTCATGAAATTTTATGAAGCAATACAAGTATTTATCATATTTAATAAGCAAGAATGAGGTACATCTCTAATATACGCCCTAATTTTACCAAATGTGGCGATATGTGTTCTGCGCTGGTTTTTGGCGCGATTGCGTGTTCTATGGCAACCCTGTTGACGTTGAAAAATCATTCGCTGAAGCTCGTTGGTTCGCCTCTGTGTCTGAGAGGATGGGAGGAAAAGATAAAATGGTTAGTTGTTGAACTGAAGTTCGGCAAAAGGAAATATGATTGTGGCTATCCTGTTGAGGGGTAGTGGGTATTTAGAACTGTGGAAAGAGGGTCTGGGAGATTATTTTTAATGGCAGTGCATGATAGAAGTAGGGATTTGTGATTTTATTTATTTGTGAACCATAGTATAAATTTTCTGGATAGTGTGTCTGGCTGTCATGTAAATACGATAGTGATTGCGTGGCGGCATGTTAAAGGCGGTATGAAATTTATATTTCTGCTATTCGAAAAAACGCATTAATTCATGGTAAGTGCATTTTATTTTATCCTTGTTCTTATTTTGTAGAATGTTTATGTTCATTGGTTTTTTAGTATGAATTTCTGTCGTTATTGTGTTTTTACAATTGTTTGAAATTTATTTACTTATTTTTTGTTTAGTGTCTAGACTGTACAATTCGTATATGTTTTTTAAAGTTGAAACAGAACGCTATGTACATGGTATTATTTGAAAATTTGTTGTTGTTATTTTATTAAAGCGAGGAGTGCGTAGATCGTAAATTCCTTTCCTTGCCTAAATGTGCAATTCGTAGAATTTTTTTAAGTTTAAACAGGATGCTGTGTACATGGTATTCTTTGAAATTTATTGTTGTTTATGTTAATTTATTACAGCGAGGTCTGCGTAGTTTGTAAATTCGTTCGTTGCCTACATTGTGCAATTCGTAGATTTTTTTTAAGTTAAAAACATGTCGCTGTGTACATGGATTCTTGTCAAATATTTTTGGTTAGAAACTTTACGTTTTTGCTATCTAAATTTTTTGTTTTTGTTTCGGATTTTTAGCTAAATTGTGTGTTCAAAACGTAGTTTTTGCAGACATTTTAGGCTAAAAGTTCAAAATGTAGACAAAAAATTTAGATAGTAATATGGCAGCGTGAAGTTTCTCGCCAAAAATATTTGGCGACTTGAGGGTGCATATCAGAGTAGTTCCAAGAATGATATTTACTGTCAGTACCGTATAGTATTTAGTGTTGAATGTAGTTTTAAGTATAAAAATTTAGAAAGTCATTAAAAATTGATTAGCTTCAATTGGCTACAAATTTTGGTGATGAGTAACTTTGTTTTAACATCATATGGCATGATCAGATCGATGTGTACATGGACAAAGTCAAGGGAGTGCGCAATGCCAAGTTTGTGCAATTCTCTGATGTTTTTTACGTGAAAATATATCGATGTATACATGGACACCGAGTTTGTAGAATTCTGAGTTGTTATTTTGGTTTTGTGTAGTGGCCATCTTGAAATTGCACCTTGCTGGACAATTGCCATAAGGCAGCCTTAAATATATTTTAACCCATATTTTATTGACACTATAATTCTTTTATTTTATGCATGTTGCAAAATGTATTTTGCACTTAAGCAGCTGAGGAAGATGGTTCTGTAGTTAAACCATCAAAACTAGTCCTGCAAAATTTACAAATATTATGATGATTCTTGTTGTTTGGCTCTTCCACTAATGATTATTTGGTGTGTTATTTTAATCTAAATGCTTAAATGATTTGCCGAAACACATTTAGGTTACGACTTTAGGTACCCCTTGTATCATCGCGAAGTTGTTGTTTCATTTATGGTAACCTGAGCAGTTGAATGTTATGGAAACCCTATTATGACATAATCGTTTGCATTATTCCGGAAAATTTTGAATCGTAGGTGTTTTCTAAGGGCTTTTGTGGTGTGTTTGGTTAGGAAATGCATTGCTTGTTTCATTGTTTAAAGGGTAGAATGGCTGAATGTGGTAAGATTAATTTGAAGTTTCTGTATGATTTGGAACGAAAGGGGGAAGTGCATTAATTGACTGGAGTGTAAATGAAGGTTTACTTAGTAGCTTTTCAGGACAGTGTGGAAAACGTAGGATGTTTTTGACTCTTATTTTTGTGAATTTATGTGGCAACACCGATATACGGATTTTAGTTCAGATAATTTTAGGAAGTTTTTGGATGCTGTTAAGGAATTTTGTGTGCCACAGAGGTTAGTAGATATTTGCTTTGTGTAATGCTTAAATGCATAATGTTAATACAAAATCCTTTTTTATGTTAATTTATTGTTTGGTTTAAAATGTAGTTTACTGAAATTATGTATTTTTTGTTTGCCTTTACTGTAGACTTGGGTGCTCCTTTGACTTATTAAGTGAAAATATATGGATGTGTACATGGACAAACTCAAGGGTGCGCACAAAGCCTAGTTTGTGCAATTCTCTGATGTTTTTTGAACTTAAAATAGGTCGATGTATACATGGATACCCAGTTTGTGCAATTCTGTCTTGTTATTTTGGCTTTATGTAGTGGCGATTTTTGGCGCAAATATCGCCGCTACGAAAGCCAAAATAACAAGTCAAAGACTTGCACAAATTCGGTATCCATGTACCACCAAAAATCGCGAAGGAGTACCCTATAATATACTTTTATCCACATTTATAATACCAGTTTAATTACCTTTATATAATAAATAATTACATAAATTGTTAGCACAGTTTTTACTTTAATCAGTAATAAATGAAATCATACTATTTCCTCAATTTTCTTTGCTACTCTTTTTCTTGTTTCTCGTTTAGCAGTCACAAACTTAGAATGTACTTTCTCAGCCAGCAGCACACTTCGATTCCTTTGCTTTTTTCTACAATTTTGTCCAGCAAAAAATCCATTCTGTGAATATTTTGTCCACCTAGAAAAGTTCCTTTCATTTCGACTACACAAATAACATAATGATTTCGATGGTAAGTTAGAAAATAGTAGTAATTTGCCCAATTTTGGGGTGAACTCAGTATCATTACAGCTGAAACGTACTGAGCCGGTATACCTCCATTGTAGCGTAAAAGCATTTTTTAATTTTGTGACATTTCTGAAGTTCAGTAAGAAATTGAAAGAAGTAAGGGAATTATTAAATATATTAGCACTCAAATAAACCATTGCATTAGACGAAACAAAACTATACATAAGAACACTTACTATACACAGAAACAAAAACAAACAGAAGACGCAAGTAACTTTTCTTACATCAGCAAAGTCTTTTCCCTCGAAGGATGATGATTAATGCATTTTGAATAGGCAACGCAAATATTAAACATTGAAAATGATGTAATAAAATTTAAAAATTCATTACTAGTTGTGGTATAATAGAAAATAATATTTTTCAAATAACTGAACAAATTCAAAACGATATGCATACTTGCTTTTACTCTTTAGTATATTATTTAATATTATAAAATTTAATTTAGTTTCCGTACATCGTACGGATTACATTTGATATTAAGAAATTTCGAAATTAAAACTTTTCAATTTCAAAGTTTGCTTGAGAACATTAAGAAAAAAAAATATTAAATAAATTATCTATATGAATGCAGAAAGAAACTAATAAATATGATAAATTCATAAATAAATAGTGTTTTCGTGTTTAAGATCAATTTCTTTTTTCCTCTCAAATTCATATTAATTTAATGATAGATTATTTTTTCTTAACCCCTTCAAGTACGATTGTAGAAAAGACTTTTACTGTATCTAATTATAGGATTTCTCGATTATGTCTACAAAACTTATAAACTGCGATGTTAAAATGACTGTGCAATTAGAAAGTCTTTATTACTAATGTAGAACTTGTGCTTTCAAAAGCGAATATGCTTAATTTTAATACATATATTCCTTGCTTTAGAGTTATTTCACAAGTTATGTGTTCCTGTTTTTATCGTTTAAAAGCATTTTAGCATTTGTTTTCTGAAATTTCATAACTTTCTTCCATGGATGGTAATAAAGATGAAAGCGAACGCTGCATATCTATTGCTCAGAAGTATATAAACGAAGGTGATCGTTCCAAGGCTCTCAAATTCTTATATAAAGCTGAAAGACTTTATCCTTCTCAACGCGCGAAAGGTAAAATTTCACTCAAAATATAATTAGGTAAAATGCCAACTGTAGTGAAACTGATCATTGGTTTTACAGTTTAACCTGTTATAGTAAACACTGTTTTAATGGGTTAGTTTTTTACAATTACTTTTTTTGGGACTTTTGCTATTCCCTACCTTGTACATTTCACTTATATGTAAAGGGTGCTCTAACTAAAGGACAGTTATTTTGCTAATTTTATTTGTTTCTTTCTCTTGTTTAGTCTTAACAAATATGTAAAGAATTCAAAGATAATATTTAAAAGATTAAAAATTTGGGAAACATAAGTGTGAAAAACTAAAATGATAGGGTAGGATTCGCATAATTTCTTTATGCTTCTGAATCATTGAATAAATTTTGCTCTTTCCTTAAACTGATGTTTGAAAACGTTAAGAATGCTTACCAGCTTGCTTTATATGAAGTAAGAAAGTATTTGAACAACACTTGTTCTACTCTCCAAAGCAGCAGTAAATGTAATGTGTATTCCAGACTAGAACTGTATGTTATTTTTTAACATAGCTCCACTACTTCCTTTTTTTGAATGTGTAAGATTTAATTGCAGGATATATTTCTTATGCTGCATTCTTAGTTTAAAATGTTGATAGGTATATATTCATTAGTGAATTATGTGCAGAAAAGGTTATGAAGATGTAAAAAGTTTTATTTCATGAGCAAGTAATATTAAGGTTTGGGATAGTGAAACACTGTGTGAAAAATAGAGGGGAAAAAAGTTAAAATATATCAAAAATCGGTACTTTTCCGTTTTGCCGGCGCAGGCAATAAACTCGCCAATAATGGTACAAGTGATGTGAAACAGATTATCCTCGATGGTAACCTTTAATGCCTCATTTTCAAAACAAGTCGCAGCCATTTCTTATCAGATTGATTGCTTCTTTCATTATTGGTACACAATTAGGTAGAATTTTTACCAGATTGTTCAATTTTATGCCCTAAGGCCATTCCCGGTAATTAAGTCAATTAGGTTGCAATCACACAGCTCACCCAAAGGCAAAAATATAGAAAAGACAAAGTCAAGGGTTAAATTCATCAATTCTAATTAAGAATGCGCTAGCGAAGTAAAGCACTGCGGTTTTATGTAATTTCTGAGTAAGCTATTCATATGAATTGAAGTAATTCTTGCATTTAAACTTGTATTTCAAATTAAGAGTTAACTTGAAATTAATGTAGATAATTACTGAGAGAATTAGATTTTTGTAGTATAGCTTGCAAGATGAGATTACTTGGGGTCACGTGATATGAACCGGTGAATCAACCATGAAAGCATAGTAAATTCTTAAATTAATGTCTTTTTACAGATTTATTGGCTTTTTAGAAAATTTTAAAGGATATTAAAATATTTATGCCTTCAAAATAAAAATTCTTAGAACTAACATTTGTTAACATTTTCTGTGTGTGTATACTGAATGTTGTCGCCAATAAAGTCTGCTTGACGAGATTTGCACTGGCAAAATGAAGAGGTACCCAAAAATCTTGAATCATATTTTTTATCTTTAGATGGTAGAGAACGGCTAACTGAAATTTAGAATTTAAAATCCCTTTAAATGAGGGACACCTCTATAAAATAGACAAAGTTTGTGTTCTCATGAGTATGCATTATTGGAAGATTGTACAAAATTTTTAACAAATCTGATACTCTTTACCATTATGTGTTGTAAATATTTCAAGTGGTTAATGACCAAACAGTCCCACATGGCCATTCATTCAGACGACCCCAACCGCCTGAAAATGGCAGAGATTGCGATCCTGTTTTCTTCCCTCCCCCTAAGGTATGCAGGTGCAGTTTCCCCAAATGCACTGTATCAGTTTACTGCAGACAGCTTGTCCTAAGAGGTTTATTTGTGGTTTCTTATCTTAAGGTTGCGCATGACATTTAGTTGTTGATTCTTTTTGATATAGTGCGCTTCTAAGCTTTAATCAAAATGTGTAAATATCTCAATGTTTTAACAAGAAATTGAGACTATTCTTTTTATTGATACGAGTCGGATTTGGAATCAGAAGACGGCGATAGGAAAGAAATAGAAAATGAAACAAATGATAGTGAAGAAGAATCATTTATAGCAGAAGATAAAGATGAGCTTACAGCAAATCTGGAAGCAGATGTTTCAGAAAATTGTAATGAAACTCCAGTAAAAACCTGGTCTACTAATGTTAACAATGATGCCTTAATTTTGTTCCCATTTAATAGCTTTTTGGGACCAATTCATAATTTACCTGTTGGCACTTCACCTTTACAATATGTAAAGTTGTTTCTTACGGATGAAATGTGTGAGTTAATTCTCATAGATACAAATAAATGTGCTAAATTCTGTGCAAGAAAGTGTAGCAGTGTTGATCATCAATGGGAAAAAATTTCATCTATAAAAGAATTATGGACATTCATTAGTCTTTCTTATAATGAGTATAGTAAAATACCAAGAATAAGTGATTATTAGTCAAATAACACAATGCTTGGAAATAAAATGATGAGCAAAAAGAGATTTATGGAAATCAAGCATTATTTTCATTTGTCAGATAGGGAAACTGAAGTTAAAAATAGCGAAGTGAACTTTACGAATGCACAAAAATTAGAGCCCATCATTTCAAACTGTAAAAAGAAAGAAATTCAGCAACATTTTGCTTCTTATGCTGAAGTTTTAATTGACAAAGCACTAATTAAGGTAGATTTGGGATTGTGCAATATATGCCTATGAAACCAGCAAAGCATGGATTAAAAATATGGATGCTCTGCACATCTCACTTAGGATATACTTACAACTTTGAACTTTATTGTGGTTAAAGATCAGGTACCAAGGTCAGGAAAGGATTTAGGATATGATGTAGTTATGTACTTAATAAGAGCACTTAAAAAAAAAGGCCATGAAATCTATTTTGATAAATTTTTCACCAGCCTAGACTTGATGTCTGAGTTATAAAAATTGAACAATTATCATGTGGAACTGTGATGACAAATTGGAAAAACATGTCTGAGAACTTCAAGCAAATGAAGCTTGGAAATCAATATGACATCGTAGCTGTGCAATGCAAAAGTCTGCCAAATTTACTTTATTCATCCTGGCTTGAAAAAAAAAAAAAAAAAAAAAAAAAAAAATTCATACTTATCATTTCCACAAACTGTAAATATGAACCATGTTTTACTACAAAAAGAAAAGGCTCCGAAAAACATATAGTACCATGCCCACCTGCATTTGTCAAGTACAGTAAGAATATGGAAGATGTTAGATTAACGTCAAAAATATTACTTAGCTTCTAGAAAATCCTCGAAATGTTGGATGTACATATTTTAGTTTCTTTTAGACACAGCAGTGAATAAAATCTTTATAATTCATCCAATTCTAAAGTGACCAAAGCTGCTAAATGATTTTAAACTGGAATTGATTGAAGAATCCACATCGCAAAATTTGTTTAAAAAATGAACCTTAGGCATACTTCTGCCTAGTGCATTTCATGTTCACAAACATAAAAAAAATTAATGGTCATAAACACACTTTTGTTCGATGTAAAGAATTAGGAAAAAAGATAAACTTGGAGAGATATATTGAAAGTTCATGCGAGTGTGATATATGCAGAATGTGCTTGTGCAAATCATGCTTTTATGCTTTCAATTTCAATCACTAAAATAAAAAAAAAAAAAAAAAAAAGCGCTTTTCAGGGCCATATAATTTCAGGTACAGTTCTGTGATCAGGACTGGATTCAGAAATGTATGTTTGTATGTATGTGTTCAGGTATGCATGTATATATATATAGTATGTGTGTATATACGTAGACGCATATATGCATATACATACACACATTCATACTCGCATATATTTCTGATGCAGTTCTGATTATAGAACAGTACCCAATTTCAAAAAGGTGAAAACGTTATTGCATCATCACGAAAATGTGTATAAATATGCAGCGAACATCAATTTGTATATAAACGTAGACACATTTATGTATGCATATATCAACCTACAAATTTATATGAGTGATAATATGTGCATGCATATTTACCTATAACATATGCAGAAATAATATACATATATAACTAAATAAATGAAAACAGGGAAAAACAATAATGATGTTTATAAACGTGCTTTGAAACTCGTACAATAAGTAAATTCACACAAAACTATAAACTAATGTTTATTCCTCACAGAGATGGGGTCAAAGAATTGATCAATAAATGTGAAGACCCTCATTATTTTTGGGGAAAAAAAAAAAAAAAAAAAAAAAAAAGACTCAAATAAAATAAAATGAAAAAAATAACGCGTCACTTTAACTAAAAAATAGAAACTTTAATGTGCAAAAAAAGAAAGTACATAAAGTAAAATCTTAATCCTCCATTCAATAAAAGAAAAAAAAACAAATTCCTGTAAAAATGAAATTTTAAAAAAGAAAATTATTTATTTATATTATATTCATCACTGGGTGTTGGAATAGCCTATTGTATATGGCAAAGTACAAGAGGTATCTGTTAGAGGGTTGGCGAAGGCATGGGCGTAATTTTACCAATGGAAATTGGCTCTTATTTATGTTATACATGATAATAATAATATACGTATTTTGCTTACCAGGGTCCATTTTTATATCCTTTATAAAAACCAGAAATATTTCGGTAATTAACAGAATTATGATAAAATATCTACTCTTTAAACCTATCTATTCCATCATAAATTTTAAACAGCAATTAAAGATTATATTTATATTTTATCAATTTATTTTTCATATAAAAATAACGGAAGTAAGCAAAATCTGAGTTGTAGCAAAGCCAGAGAGGCTTGTTGGTTTGGCCAGTAGAATAGGTTTATAAAGAACGGGGTCAAAGGCTGATGGGATTTTTGTTAGAAAGTGGAAAGGATCTCATTTGAAATCTTAACACCTATTTCTGTGTTAATGGATGGGGAGGGGAGAAAATTGTTGTGAAACTGTAAAAGTATTTTAAGGATACTGGTTAGCAAAAGGTTTGAATTTCAAAGAGTTAAAT